TGTATGTTAGGCATTTTCATCATAATGTGCGTTGGTGTAGATCTGCTGTAATTTTGTACATTTGGTGTCTGGTAGGCCTCTTGTATTTGATTTTCCAACTCATTATTCATGTTTGGGAAATTTTCTGATATGATTTCATTGAAGAGATTGTGCATTCCTTTGGTTTGAATCTTTGTGCTTTCCTCTAAATAATCCTTAGATTTGGTCTTTTGATGCTATCCCATAATTCTTGGATATTCTTACCATCTTTATTGTGTAATCAACTTTATTTTCAAGATTGTATACTTTGTCTTCATTATCTGACATTCTGTCTTCCAAGTGACCTAGCCTGTTGGTGAGTTTTTTATTTGGTTTATTGTTTCTTTCAAGGTTTCCTGATTTTTTTCTCAGAATCTCTCTTTCTTGAAGTAATCTTTTGCTAAGTGTATTTGTTCCCTTATCTCTTTGTAGGTGTGATCGATGATTGCCTGTATTTGCTTTCTTATCTCTTTGTTAGAGTGATCAATTTTTGCCTGTATTTGCTCCTTTATGTCATTCTTTAATTCACAGAGCATTTTACTTATATATGTTCTGAACTCCTTCTCTGACAGTTCATCTACTGCGCTGTCAGTGGATTCTGTTATTGTAGTACCTTGGTTTGTTTGGGGCATTCCTCCCTTGTTTTTTCATGCTGTCTATGTGTCTTCCTTTCTTGCAGTAAGGATCTGAGGTATTACAGTTTCTACCTTATAATCTTATAGTGTCCATGCAGATTATCTGTGTCTCACCTTGGTGTTGGGCTTGAAGATCCTGCCAGTGTCCCATGATGGATGCTACTGCAACTGAAGGTGGTGGTGGCAATAGCGGAGGTAACTCAAGGTAGGCAGTGGGGGGGTGGCCCAAGATGGCTGCAACCACTTTCAGAGATGGGGCTGAAAGGACTTATAATAGAAACATCTGCCTGTTTCAAGATGCAGCTGCTTCTAGGCCCTGTCTGTTGTTGCAAGGTGGAGGCTGCTGCATGGGGAGGTATATGGCAATGGCTGCAGTGTCCCAAGGTGGAGTAGGCCTGGGCTCCCAGGTGGTCCTGGGGGTGGTGCTGGGCCTGACCTGGACCTGGGTTCCTGCTGGTCGGCGGAGACAGTCCTGGGCCTAACCTGGGCCTGGGCTCCTTCACTGGTGGCAGGGGCTGATAATCTATTTTTGATGTCTTCAAAATTCGTTTGATGACTTTCTTAAACACTGTTAATGGTATATAACTCACTTATTGTGAACTTTACCTGCTAAAAGTGTTTTTTTTTTTTTGTATATTCTAGACATGTGGAGACATCCCAATGGTTGAATGCTGGACATTTATCTCACTTCAAAGAAACTCTGTCTTATGTGTTGTCCTTATCCCTTAAAAAGCATAAAATATATAAAACAAAATTAATAAAAAATTTAAAATAAAGTACATGAGAAAGCTTAATGGAAAAATTTTAAAGTTATATTGGTGGTGTGTATATACTTAATGTGCATATACGATGTATGACAATTTTTTTTAAAGTATTGCAATTGTAGGAATAAAGTCACCTTTGACTCAGAATTCTATTTATACTTTTCTCACTAACTTGGACACTATTAATTAGCATGAATTTAACACTATGAATGCTCAGGGCTTCATAAAAACTTCAAGGATTCTCTGGAGGAGACCCCTCACAGAGGAATGATTCTTGGGTTTACTTCCTGATAGAAATTAAACATTCCTAAGGGGACACCTTGTGATTTTTAAATCAAACCAAAGAAAAAAAGAATTTTCCTGGCAAGGGATCAATCCCTCTTGCCCTCTTTCTGCCAACAAACACACACACAATATTGACTGAAAATTTTCTAATTGCTATCTACTCTGTACCCAGGGGAGCTGAATTACTTGCAGACTGCAAAGACACAAGAATAATAGACTTAATGAGGAGCGCTGAGAATCCAACCCTTGAGATGGTAGAAATTTTAAGCATGCCCTTCTCTCCTCTCATGTACTCCTCTGCTCCAAGCTTCTGTGAAAACCCAAGTGGGCTCCCTAGGACTGATTGTGCTGAAGGGATGTCTCCGGTGGTAGCCCTTGGAGAGAGTCAGCATGACCAATGTGGCTGGTGCAGCAAGAAGGGAAAAGAGAAGATGGGCACTGGGCTGTACTTCAGGACAGTGACCCTGGGACAGCCCAGGGTAGTCAGTCTATGAAGGTGAAGGTCCTGCACGTGCAAGGTACTTTATTTTCCACTGAATCATCTTTTCAGGCTCTCATTCTGCTTCCTTTCCTTGCTCTGTGGAATTCTGAACCTTAATGCAAGAGTCTGAAATGGCCATTCCTTGAAGGCAGTGCTTTCTGGAGAGTCTCCCTATCTCCTCCACTCCCTCCCTGGATGACAGGTCCCTACTAGATTTCCTCTTTCAATTCATTTATTTGTTAACTGCTCACTGAAGATCCCTCCTGCTGAGGTATTGTTCTGATGTGACTGGATTTTTTTTATAATCTGCCTATGCTGCTGTCAGACTGACTTAATGACGTCACTGAATAGCTGCAGATTGTGGTGACTGTCATTGTCACTATCTGTGCACTTCAGTAGCCACAACTACAGTCGTGATTATTTGTGATGTGTGGTACTCAGGCCAATTCTGATCTCATCTCAAGAAAATATTGAATGTTCAAAGTTGGAGTACATTCTCTAAGGATGTTTATGAGGTGAACACAAATATCACAGTATTTTATTGTAGCTTTCCTATATTCTGTGGTTTTTAAACAATCACTGTTTATTGAGTTAAAAATTTTCCTTGGTTTCTACATGTCTGAGGATTCTTTGTCTTGCCATTAAAAGAGCATCATAAGCTGCTGAATCTTTTCAAAGATGAAAGTGTGGGCCTCACGCACTCTGTCCCTGCTGACCCTCATCCCCTGCTCTCCATCACACCAGCCTCTCCTAACCCCTCCCAATGTCAGCTTTCCATGGATAGGGACAGCCACACCTTCTCTTCTCTCAGCCTAGATGTCTCTTCCTTCCTTCCTCTAATTACCATCACTCCTCCTTCAGCCCAGCATCCCTTTTTCAAAGAAGACTCTTCTTCCCACCTTCACAGATAAAATTAATATAAAATAACTTTTTTTCTGTACTGAATTAATTTACATTACCAGGCATTCATAATACTTATTCTTTTTTAACATTTATTTTTAAGTATGCTGATTTTAATAAAATACATCTCCACTCTAGAGCATGGACACTGGAGCACAATCTCACACATTCTTGTGTGTGTGTTTCTGGTACTGGGGATTGAATCCAGGGCACTTTTCCACTAAGCTACCTCCCGAGCCCCTTTTATTTTTTTATGTCAAGATATGGTCTTGCTGAGTTTCCCAGGCTTTGCCTGCCATTTGGAATATTCTTGTCTCTAAATCCTGAATAGCTGGCTGCCATGTGGGGGCACTCCGATCCAGGAAGTGAGGTTTATGGCTCTGGCAGTTGAAAGAAGATCTGAGGTACAGTTGGGATAGTAGACAGGCCTTATTCAGAGGTGGCAGCAGCCATTCCCCCCAGGCCATGTCCCTAGATCTTTTTCTATATTCAGGCCAGACAAAGAAGGCACAGTGCCAACAGGTTACATTAGTGCACACATGCTCACAAGAAAATGTTTATGACCTTGAGTATGTAAGCTGAGTCAGGGTGTTTATGACCTTGGGTACATACTAAATACACATCCCTCCAAAAGCCTTGGAGAGGGAGCCTAACTATAGCCACAGTGGGCCTGCCCAACCCTGAGTTACAAGAGTGCACTTCTACATAGACTTTGTACTTGAAGTTAATGGTAGCGTCTTCTCTTTCCTTCTCTTGTGTATATAGTCCACACACTGATTCCTCCTTTGGAAACCTTCACCCGGCAGCAATTCTCTGAAAGGAGCCATAGGGAACTTCCTTAGTTTGAAGACCTGTATGCCGTTAAAAGAAACAACTCAGATGTTATATTCATGATGATTGTAATTTAATCCTTCATGGCTGCCCCAGTGAAGAGGGGTATTGACAAACAGTGGTCAGGCAAGACAGATGTATTGCGATGTTTAAGAACAAAAGCTCATACTTACAAAATGTTCATTGCTATGTCATGGGAACCGCAGGAGAAAAATTACATGCATTATCTCTTTTAATTTCACTCTCCAATCTTACCATGTAGTGAATGTTCCTGATTCTTACCGTAGAGGTGAAGGATATCCATCTAAGAGAGTCTAAATATTTTTTCTCAAGACCACACAAATGCTAAAGTCAAGGGTCAATTTTTTTTCTGATATCTGAAATCTAGAAATAAATAAGGAATAAAAAAAGGGGGAATCTCATGAAAATTGAAGGGAGAATAGTAAAGTAGAGGAAGGGGATCAAGGGAGAGGAAGGAGGATGAGAAAAGGGAGGAAGAGAGGAATGAAATTGACCCAATTATGCCATCTGCCTGTGTGACTGCATCACGATAAGTCCCACGTTTATGTGTGATTATAATGCAGATGTTTGGGAAGGTAAAGGCATATGAGGATCAGTAAAGTAGATGGGAAAAGTTGGGAGGAGGGAAAAAAAAGGAGAGAAAGAGGAAGTCCTGGGGAAAGAAATAGAACACATTGTATCCTATGCATTTATGAATACTCCAAAGTGAACCCCACTAGTACATGTAACTATAATGCACTAATGAAAACATTAAAGTAAATAAATAAAAAACCCCCACAGATGGTGTGTTGATAAACTAAATTCATATCAAGGGAAGTCTGACTCAAGATCCCAATTTCTATATGTCCATCTACCATTGGTATCTCAGGAGTGTTATGCATTTGAAATAATTATCATAAAAAGGAGCTTAACAATGAAAATATCATATTAATAATGACAACAATAACTTTTTTAGGTTCTACTGTCCACAAGGCATTTTAGATCTCAAAAACATAGGAATAGCAATAATCATACTTTTTTCTAAGAAAAAGATTATGCCATGGTAATTAACTCTCACAAATCTATAGTGTCAAGTCACAGGATAAAGATTTCCTGGATTAAAAAAAAATCTATGTTTAATTACTGTTTTAGAGGTATGTAAATGAATAAGTATTAGTATTACCAGGAGCAGATCCTGAAATGTGTTCGAACAGTTTGGAAAAAAAGTTGATGTTCGAGAGTGAGTGATTGATACAAAGATGGAAATTTCTTCTAACCTGAAGAAGTCAAGAAAATTATACACATTTAAGTGGAAATGGTGTGTGACTTGGATGAGTGAGTCATAGTCACTGTTAGGACCCAACATGGATGCCCAAGGGTGACGTAGTAAGGAGAAAACTTTCCCTGAGGTACCAGTTGGCGGTTCAATGAACACTGCATTTCCCTCTTTCTCCAGAAGATACACCAGCTTCATGGAAGCAGAAAACTGTACACAGGTGTCAAAATTCCTGCTCTTGGGCCTCTCAGATGATCCTGAACTGCAGCCCATGTTCTTTGGACTGTTCCTGTCCATGTGCCTGGTCACGGTGCTTGGGAACCTGCTCATCATCCTGGCTGTCAGCTCTGACTCCCACCTCCACACCCCCATGTACTTCTTCCTCTCCAACCTGTCCTTCAATGACATCTGCTTCATCTCTACCACGGTGCCAAAGATGCTGGTGAACATCCAGGCACAGAACAAGGACATCTCCTACATAGAGTGCCTGATACAGGCATATTTTTTAAGTACTTTTGCTGGAATGGATAATTTCCTACTGACCATGATGGCCTATGACCGCTTTGTGGCCATCTGTCATCCACTGAATTACACAGTCGTCATGAATCCCCGGTTCTGTGTCCTCCTGATCCTGCTGTCTTGGTTCATCATTTTCTGGGTCTCTCTGATTGATATTCTACTGGTGAAGAGACTGAACTTCTCCACTAGCACTGAAATCCCACATTTCTTTTGTGGATTGGCTCAGCTCCTTAATGTGGCCACCTCTGATACCCTTATCAACAATATCTTTCTGTACGTGTCAACTGCCCTGTTAGGTATGTTTCCTATGACTGGGATCCTCTTCTCTTACTCTCAAATAGTCTCCTCCTTGATGAAGATGTCCTCCGTCGCTAGCAAGTATAAAGCATTTTCTACCTGTGGGTCTCACCTCTGTGTGGTCTGCTTGTTCTATGGAACAGGGCTTGTGGAATACCTCACTTCTGCTGTGACCCATTCTTCCCTGAGAACCATGATTGCCTCAATGATGTACACTGTGGTCACCCCAATGCTGAACCCCTTCATCTACAGCCTGAGGAATAAGGATGTGAAGGGGGCCCTGGAGAAACTCCTCAGCAGAGCAGCCCCTTGTCCCTGATGGACCACTGACCTCTAGTTCTGAGGAACTAGAGTCTGTACCATAATGAAAATGTGAACTTGAATATCTAGGCTCTTTTTTCATCCCTAAAATACATGCTTAATTTCTTCTATTTGCTATGACTTCTTTTATGTATATTTTTGTATATATTTCTCCCCAACAACTCCCTTACTAACCTCTTTTCAGTTTTCTTCTTTATACATGGCTCATAAAGTTCCAAGATTGGTGAAATTTCTTATAGGCAATTTCTGAAATTTACACTTTTATGGGAATGGTTAAATTAAATTGACCAAACTATCTTATGTACATATATGAATATATCACAGTGAATTTCAACTTTATGTGTGTGTGTGTGTGTGTGTGTGTGTGTATATATATATATATATATATATATATATATATATATATATAACCATTGATTAAAAATCTATTAAATATAAATTTATAAAATAAGGAAGACCAGTAAAAGTAGAAGACAGTGAACAGGGAGAGGGAAGATGGAAGGAAAATAGGAAGTATTGGGAACCCCCAACTATATTCTATGCTTATATAATTATGTCCAAATTAATGACAATATTATGTCTAAGTATAATGTAATAATAAGTGAAAATAAAAAAAAATTTGAAGACTTTCATATCAAGTGCTGTCATGTTTTTGTTAGAATTTATAGCTTGAATGTTGGTGTTTTTGCTTGAACTTGAATGTTATTCTTGTTTTCTCTGGAAGAAATGGAATGAAAACCATCAGAGTGCTTCCTGTATCTGTCCTGTGTTTGCTGATTTTCATATTTGATTTTACTTATTCTGAAAAGATTTCTTTGATGTATTTTCTCTCATTCACACAATTTCTGAAGGGAAGATACCCCTCAGGGGTGCATGAGAATGAGCCTACGCTGAGTGCAAGCCCTTGCCTTTGCTATCTTAGGTTTTGTAACAACAATGGCTGGATTTTTAGCTTGAAGGCTGGAGTCTGCCTTTGAAAGCAGTGTGCTCCTAGGACTCATGGTGGTATCAAGGGCTTTGGATGACCCCAACATGTTGCTCTGTTCTTTGTGATCCTTGCAGTGTTCCTTTCAAAAATCCTTCTTTCTTCCTCTCTTGTTTTCTTTCCTTCTCCATTCTCTCCTTCCCAACTTCCCTCCTTCCTCCTCTGGTTGTTTGGGTTAATGTTAACTATTTATCTTCTTTCTGTAACTGAGTAATTTTTCTCTTTATGTGAGCATCACTAGTTGCTTTTATATTAATCTTTTGTTGGTCTTTTAATTTCTACCATTTTGATATTGTGAACAGTAGTGTCTAAAAGGATATTTGTGAACATTGATTATTTGAGCACAGTCATATGTTAAAATAATAAGCTTTGGGAGGTGACAGACGGTATATTTGATAGTGGTCCCATAAGATGAGGTCGTCTAGTGACATCCCAGCCATGTGAGTTTATGTAAGTGACTTGTGATTTTGCACAACAGTGAAACTGCCAAAAGATGCATTTCTTATGGTTAAACAGTGCACAGTTATGTGGCTGTCAGTTGGTAATATATACTTAGAAGTAAGACACTGGGTGATAAGGCAATGGTATATTCAACTTTTTAAGGAATCATCAAACTGCTGTTTTGTTGTAGCTGGTGTGTTTCACATCTAATGTGTGAAGGTTCTGGTGTCTTTACATCATTGCCAAAACTTGTCATCTTCAATTTGATCTAAACTAAAGCTTCCTATTGGCTGTGAAGTGGTATCACTTCATGCTTTGGATTTGGGGTTCCTTATGACTAATTGAGCATCTTTTCAGGTGCTTGCTGTCAGTTAATAAATCTTTTGTGGGTAAATGTCGTATCGAGCCTGTGCTCACTTACTAATTTTGTAGATTATGTCATCGTCAGGGTGTCCAGATGGGGTCCAGGTCCTTGGTGTCCCAAACAAAGAACTGAGCAAAATACACACAGGTAACAGGCAAAGTACAGATTTATTGAAGACAAAGGTGGAGGTAGCACTCTGTTAGGTAGAGTACAGTGGCCTGAGAAGAGAGAGAGGCCAGAGGCCCTGATGTCTGGAAATTAGTGTCTCATGCACTGAGCTGTGAGGTGTTCTCTTCCTATATGGACCTGGTTGAAGACCTTACCCCATTTGCTCCCAATGGTTACCTATGGACCTGATTAGAACATTGTCCAATTTCCCCCCATTGGTCATTTTAAAGTACTTGCAAGGCATTTTATTTTCCACCAAATGATCTTCTTCTGCCTCCTTTCCTTGCTTTCCGGAATTCAGAACCTTTTCCAATAAGTCAGATATACCCATTCCTCAAAGGTAGTACTTTCTGGAAAGTTTCCCTCTCTTCTCCACTCCCTCCCATGAATTCCAGGTCCTTATTAGATTTCCTGTTTCAATTAGTTTATTAGTAACTGCTCACCCAAGATCCATCATGCATGGGGCATTGTCCCTTTTGTGCTTGATGTGATTGGGTGTTTCTTCTGTAATCTACCTGTGCTTGCTGTCAGATGTGAGTTAATTACATCATCAAATAGTTTATATTTTGGTTTTGTCATTGTCATTATCTGTTCACTTTAGTGGCCACTATATATATAATCATATAATCATTTCTATTTTTTGGTACTCAGGCCAATTCAGTGCTCTGGAGGATACTGAATGATTGGAGTTGGAGTATGTGCTCTTGCCATGTTTATGAGCTGACCACAAATATCTATAATGTTGTATTGTAGCATTTTCTTTTTACTAGGGTTTTCTAACCATCATTTTTTATTGAGTTAAGAAGTTATTGTGGTTTCCTCATGTCTGAGGATACTCTGGCCTGGCTGCTAAAAATAGCATTAGCTGTTAAATCTTCTGAAGGACATTTTTCTATTGTGATTTTTGTTATGATTTCTCTTCATTGTCCTACTTCTTTTTTTGTGTTTAATTGACATGCTGGTCTTAGTCTTTGTTACACATGCAAGGTTAGCATTTGTGGAACATCTACTAGGTGATAGGGATTCTGTCAATCCCTGTAAAGAAATAGGAGAGAAAACTGTCACAAACTCAGGTCTACAAATAAGTGTAACTTTGCCAGTGTGAGAACAACATCAAGGAAGACCCCAGGATCTGTTCTGTGGACCTCACACACTCGTCCCTGCTGACCCTCACCCTCACTCTGTCCCTGCTGAGCTCTCCATCATAATGGCCTCTCTTAACCCCTCCGGATGTCAACTCTCCACCTGAAAGGACAGCCCCACCTTCTCTTCTCTCAGCTCAGGATGTCTCTTCCTTCCTTCCTTCCTCTAATTAACCATGACCCCTCCTGCCTCTCAGCCCAGCATCCCTATTTCAGAGAAGACTCTCCTCCCAACCTTTGACAGACTACATTGGTTTAAATTTACTTTTTATGTCTTGAATTAATTCACATAGCCAGACTTTAATAACACTGTAAATCTTTATTTTTAAAACATTTTTTTTAGTTGTAGATGGACATAATATCTTTATTTATTTTTATGTGGTGCTGAGGATGTAACCCAGTACCTCACATATGCAAGGTGGGCACTGTACCACTGAGCTACAGCCTCAGCCCCTGTAAATCTTTATTTTTAAGCCATCAATTTATCTTTTAATTTTTCCAGGATGATTGATTTATATAATGCTTAAATATTTGTAATCAAATCAATCAATTTTATATTTTGGCCATTATATCTGGTGATATTAATACAAAACATTTCCACTCAAAAACATGGACACATGAGCACACACACACATCCTTATATTCAATTTTTTTTCTTTTTTCTGGTACTAGGGTTTGACTCAAGGGGTGCTTTACCACTGAGCTACATCTCCAGCCCTTTTATGTATTGAAAGAGGGTCACTAATTTGCCCAGGCTGGCTTGAATTTGAGCTGCTCCTGCCCCTCCCTTTGAGTAGCTCCTTATAGGCAGGGGCCACCCGCAGCTCTAGCTCTGACTGCTGTTGTGGTTGTTAACGGTTGTTTCCTTTCTGAGTGGTGCTGAGAATTGAGTCCAGCATATGGAGCATGTTGGGTGGGTGCTTTGCTGATGAGTTACACCCCTAGCCCACTCGGGAGAAATTTCACCCTACTCCAGCCATGACCTACCCCCCCACTACCTGTGTCTACTTGGGGCAGGTTATGTGCTAGGGACTTTTCCCTATTTTGTAATTTGAAGTATCACTAAGGTTCAAACCTTCCTTCATCCATCAACTTCCTTAGCCCTTACCAGGTTAAGCTGCTTCTCTGCTGGGTTATGATCAAGAATGGAAAATCCAACACCCCTCCCTTGCCTGGTGCCCAGTGGAAACTCAGTCTGTCCTGGGGACTGAGAAGAATACAATATCAGATAGAGATAGACAACCAAGTGAGGAGAAGACACAGGTATGGAGCCCACAGAACTTGGAACAACTAAAGGATTGGAGATACAGGCTCATTATTTACTATTATGTGACCTGGGAGGGGTCACTGTAGAAGCTGACAGCTAGTAGTAATATTGATCCATGTTATCATAGTCTCTAAGGACTTCCGATATTAGTAGTAGAAGAAGAGAACATGGATATCTACAAAAGTTTTGGGACTCTACCTCTACTCCAGAGATAGCTCATGCATACAATTCATACCACTCCTTTCTTGTATGTTTTTCAAGACTCTTCTTTTTATTTTGTTTTTTATTGTGGCAAAATATACAGAGCCAAATATACCACCATTGAAACTACTTAGTTGCATTAGTCCATTGGCATTAATTACATTCACGTACTTACGTAATCATGGCCATTGTACATCTCCAAAAATTTTTCATCCTCTGGATTCACAGGTTTGTACACATTTTAAAAGTGAATTTAGACAGAAAGGACTTTTTTCCCTACCATAACTTGTGAATCTGAAATGATGCCTAAAATCTCCAGAGATTGTGAGCTGGAGAAACATCACAGGAGCTGGTTCTGGGGACTTTGCATACATTCTCAGTCATTCCTTCCTAACTTTCCTCCCTTATACATGGTCCATAAAGGTCCAAGATTTTTTTTTTTTTAAACAGGTATTCCTGAGATTTCCACCTTGACTTAAGATACATTAGGCATGAGAAAAAGATCCCTAAGATGAAAAAAATAAATAAATGCAACTATAACACCAGCAAAATACAGGACTATGTTTTGGTGACAGTGTCACAAAAGCAGACAAATGAGCTAACATTCACCCAGCAGCGCACTATTCACAAGGGTGAAAAGATGTAAATCACTCCAATGTCCATGAATGGATATACAGATAAACTCCTAATATACCAAACTACAATAGACTATTTCAGCCATAGAGAGGAGCAAGTGGATCTTTACCAACAAACCAGCCAAAAGACAGGAGGGAAAAAAGAAGGAAGG